AGCGGTGTAGCAGTTGAAGGGGCAGCCGTTGAAGGTCCTGCTGTCAATGGGGCAGCGGTTGAAGGCGCAGCCGTTGAAGGTCCTGCTGTCGAGGGCGCAGCCGTTGATGGTCCTGCTGTCAACGGTGCCGACGTTGAAGGTCCTGCTGTCAATGGTGCAGCGGTTGAAGGCGCAGCCGTTGAAGCCGTAAAGGACACAGCTGTAGTTGTGCTTTCTGACAATGCATAAAAAGAGTGAGTTTTAGTCACTCTAAATGCCTTCAAGATGGAGCATGACACTACCATTCCAAACTTTAGAAAACTACAAACGGTGTTCAGAAGTGAAAACTGATTTCAGACAGATGTCCTGAAGCTGAAGTGTATGTTGAGCAATATATATGTATTCAGGGTGGAGAACTTCTTTCATATGAAGAAATTCTTATTTCTGAGCAATCTCAAAGCAATTATGCAATACTGCAATAGATTTCTTACCACAGTCTTGATTTGTCGGAGGAGCTGTGTGCAAAACCAAACATAAAAGAGACTTAGTTGAAAAGGACCATGTGCGTTTTGAAAGGTTACTTTGTGAGAGAAAAAAGTGAAACTTAGTTGATAAGTTACGTTACAAACAGAGGATTCTTCAGTAAAGGGGGACTTCCATAAATCCAGCTCTGATCATGAACGTTCGACATCATGTCTTTTTTTTTCCGTTGCTCTCATCTGTGGTAACGGGAATCGTGGAGGGGTCATTACAGCACATTGGAAACACTCCAATCTCTTCGGACAACTGAGCGCATCTCGCTGAATTGAAAAGATACCTGTATACTGCTCTGGCAAATAAGCCATGACCTGTCAAAATGGGCTCTTGTCCGCTGTCATGCACAAAGACAAGTCGAGAAGCCTGTATCAAAAAGTTGTTTTGCAAGTCAAGCCTCGCTTTCATTTGCAGTACGGTGAGTTTCATGCAAAGGAGGAATTGTAATTCTTGCAAGACTTACTGCACACGGAGCAGGCGACTGGGCATTGCTCACGCCAAGTGGGGCAGTTTAAACGGGGAGCCAGAGCCACCGTTTTACAGTTACTGTCAGCATCAGCGCATTCGACTGCGAAGTGTAATTAAGAAATTTAAGTATTATTGTGATAAGTCATCAACTGTGCGTTTCATACATCAACATGAACTGTACGGTCGAATGCTTTTAGTTCTAAATCTCTGAAACTGAAAGAGGATGGCCGTTTTCCAATACTCAATTCGGCTCCGTTCAGGCTTCAGCTGTTTTTTTACAAACTGACTTTGAAGCTGTAAGCGCAATAATTAGTCTTATAGTGCCACAAAACATCAAATATGATGCAAGTGGGCCACAAATTACAGAAATCCGATTTCATTTAAACGCCTCAGGCCCACAATCGGGGATTGGTTTCTGGAACGAAGCCTGACACGGAGACGAAGTTGAGTATTGGAAAACGGCCTATAATCCACAATCGGCCAGCACGGCAAGTGGGCGTGTCATAGGCCTAATCATCTACTGAGCAATACCACATTCTGATTGGCTATATCTTCTGTAGTTTGGGTAATGATGTGAATTATTTTAAGAGAAAAAATAGGAACCATGGTACTCTAAAAGACAGAGTGAGTGAGGATAAACCCCATTTTAGAAGTAATCTCGTCGTGAAAAGATGTGAAGTACGGCCCAATTTGCACAGAGCCGCTTTTAGAAAAATCCTGCTAACTTAAACAGACAAATTGGCGGTGCTTGGCATGGTTGTGCTAACGGTTGCGCGCACAAAGAGATTTCTGTTGTTATGTCGTTATGTTAAGCTTTTCCGTTAAGCGTGCCTTTGGCTGTGTTTATTGAAATGCGCGGAGCCTCTGTTAGCGTGAAATGGTGTGCTAGGCAGCGCCGTGACACTGGGCCCAGGCTGCAGATTAATCCGCCCTGTAATCCGCCTGCTGTGTCCTAAGTGAAGGACTGGACGTCTGATCGTTGCTGAGTGCCTTCAGCCGCAGGTACCGGACGTCATCGAACCAGACTAAAGGGCATTAATCTATGTTAGCTTTGTATTTATCGTTAAAAAATATTTGGGTTCTTCATGTGCAAAGCTTCCAGTGTTCTTTTTACACCTTTCTCTAATGTGTTTTTTTTTAGGTTGTCCTTTCTCCCCGTGTCCTGTTGATCCATCCCGGTCAATTTACCAACAGACGAGAAACCCAAGGCTCCTTACAGCTCAGTTAGGCGAAATCTGTTTGTCCTGAGGATTTCTTTCACCACTGAAGCACCAGCGGTAGGCGAGAATGAAACGAGTAACATCGAAATATATGGGACAGTCGACAATCACAGATTCAAACTCAGAGAGAAAGACATGCGGAAATTTTATCCTGAGCTAGAGGACTTCATTTAAGGCAAGCGAATACAGGGGATAACAGGTTTGCCCCAACGATCGTTCAGACTTACCCGAGCAATCCGCTCCCAGCCAACCGCTTAAACACTCGCAGCGACACGCAGTCTCATTAAGATTGCCGCAGTTGAGGCACCTCGCTCGGCATTCTAGATGGACAAAGGTTAAACAAGTTCATACTTCATACAAGTTTAAGACCTGCTTCCCCGTTGTTTAAGCGTTTGACACCTCCCACTGAGCTTGGGTGTGAGAGCAAAACCTGCAAATGGGTGGGTAACGAGGCTCTCTCTCGTCCTCCGCTTTGCACGCTGGAACACCTGCAGAGATCACGTGGGCATTATACTTCGACTTCGACAGGAATCCTTGCTCTAGGGTCCCACGTTCCTTTGATCCCCACGTCATACACGCGTAACTTGCCTAATCATTTCTCCACAGATTCACCAACACGTTACATGATTATTCTAGTGGAGTTATTCCGATTTTTGTTTGTATTATTCTGCACAGGGATCTCCACTTTGCACAACTTTGATTCTGCTGTCGAACTCATGGACGTCACCGCGATGCATTCAAAATAGAAGGAAGGTATTTGAAACTGGTTACCTTCGTCAGGGCAAGACTGAACTGAATCTGCTTGGCCTGACGAAGGTACCCAGTCACCAAGAGCTCGGCTATAAGATAATTCAGAGCACTGATGGTATAATTATTTTTTTGTCAATCGAAGGAAGGTATCACGGGCGTGACGGCACTGCTAACCACGCTGTGCAAGTGCATTATAAAACCTCACGGTTTTCATTCATCGCCATTGTTTTGCACGAGGTAGGGTTCGATAGGACGTGGCGTTTTATACTCACCGCATCCACCTGCGGCAGAGCAGACAGACTGTGATGCTGTAAACAGAACATATAATGATTTTGAATGTCACTTATGTCACTGTTACATGTTACTGTGAGTTGATTTTTTTCCACAAGTATAATGGAGAATTGAGCCAAAACCCTCACAATAATTGCAATAAGAGGGAGAACTTTCAATTTGGAATCCGTGACGAGTCAATCACACACTCGTAACTCTGAGTGGGTGACAGAAACTTATGAAATGTAGCGCATCGCTTATTTCTACTCAAAAGCTGTGTAGGCCCTAAAGGAAGAAGATACAATGAAATCCTTGTGTGACGGGAGTACTCACCGCAGGTGTTGTTCAGACAGTAACCCACCCCAGAGCTGCATTGGGTACAGCTCGGTCCCGACATGTAGGGTTTTGCCCCTTGCAAATTACCCCTATTATGTCCAAAGAGAAAAGAAATTGCTTGTGGAGGTCTCAATGTTAACTGTTTGGGTTGGATTGGGTCGAGTCGGGTTGGGTTGGTCGGGCTGGGGGTTACGTTAGGCTAGGTTTGGCTGGGCTTGGTTGGGTTTGTGTGGGTTGGTTTGGGTCGGGTCAGGTTAGGTTGGGCAAGGCTGGGCTGGGCTGGGCTGGGTTGGGTTGGGTCGGATGAAGTTTGTGCACCGTCATTTTAAGGTGCAACTGAATTTTCCAACATAATCAGCCTAATTTTGCACATTAAAACCTGGGAATTATATAAAATGTTGCTTTTTGGTGGTTAGATTTAAGATAGATTTTGATAGGGCAGGGAACCAGCTCCTTGTATGCATACTTAAGTATGCATAATACTTACGCTGGAGAGTAGTGACACGTGACCATCCAAGCTGCTTGGCCGTTGAAGATATACTCTGGATTGGGTGAGTCGGTTACAGTAACACCCCCGGGACAGTGATGGACGCCACACCCCACAACATTGGACTCAGCCCAAACTACCTGTATTGTTTTATAAAAAGGTACATACGCTTACCTTCCTTTATGAATTGAGACCAAAATACCGAGGGAGGTTGTAGGTATGTGATAGTTTTCACATACGTGGCACTTGTCGTGCCAAGGTTTGCGCGCGCTTCCAATGGCAATTTTTTTGTCAACATGTGTCTTTAGACGCATCGATGGAAATGAACTTCTTGCATAGTATTCAAAATAACAGCTTGCAAGAAAGAATGATTTCATACAGAGTTAAATCCCATGACTATCTGTAACCAAGAGCTTTTCAACAATAATTTCGATTGTTACTTTTTGGGTAACTGCACAGTGATGGACTGCACCTTTAAGCTTCGCTAGTTCGAAAGGTATTTTCCTTGAAAAGAAATTCCCTTCATTTCATATCATGATGGGAACTAATTCCCAGTCACAGAGGAGGTTTTTTTCACTGAGTGGCCCGGAATTCACTTGTTCCAGGTGGTACGATTGTTCTCGTTAACTTTGGGGTCAAATTGCCTGATTTCCCGCTGCGGTATTAAAGTGAAAAAAATGTTATTAGACCTCAGCTGTGTGCTGGAAGCAGGCTCTGTTCAACATTTTGCAGTACAATATCAGCCAAAGCTAAATAAACAGAGCATTTAAGCTGTTTTTGAACCGGTCACGTACCGAGTCCTCGGTTGAAATTGTTGAATTTCGTATTGCCATTGTAAATGTCTGACATTGCCCACGCAATATCTGCACAATATCGTTGAACTTTCGATATAGTGTTGAACTTTCCATCGCTGGTTGCTGAACCGTTAAAAACCGTACAAGTCAAAGTTTGAGTCCATTCGGATATGAATGAGTACAGGGGCTGCTCATCTTACGTCAGAATTGTGTTTTTCTATTTGTTGATGCTAAAATCATGCATGGATGCCGTCAAGACAAAATGAAAGGAAGTTTACAAAGTGTTGAAGATCCCAACCAGCTACCCCAAAACACCAGAGTATACTAAATACTGAATGGAAATACAACCCTCTTTAACGTGGATGGGACAAATTTACTTCGAACGACATTAAGGCAAAATCGAAAACAACCAATGGGTGATATTCTGCCAATACAAGTTGTAGGCAAAAGGAGAGTGGTCTATTCTTTATCTGTTTGGTTTAAATACCAAATTTCCACAAATGCTGAAACAAAATATGCATTTTTGTGTTTGATGGTCTGTTTTTCAGCTCCCTAGAGGTCTCTCATGACACAAACTGAAAGGAACAGGGTTTTAAAATTATTTTTCAAAATTTTGCCTGTAACTTTTGCTTTGCTTTGTCATGCCATTAATAAATTTGTCATTCCCGCACATCCGATTTCGAAAAGTAATATTTGTATATAATCGATTCACCGTAATTGAGAATTTAATCTGTGTTTTGTCTTACCAAGGCCTTTCGGTGTCGAAACTGCTTTGACAGTCCGGTTAGTTTTTATTGATATTTCGCAGTTTATAGCAGGATATAATGCACGGAATCAGCGGCGATTTATTTAAATGTGCAGCTTTGAGAAAGTTTCAAGTTAATGTGGGCCCACGAACTAATTCAGGTAATCTTTTCTAGTCAGAAATTAATCAGTGAGGTCAATTATTACTTTTAGGACATCCATCCAGTTGAGTGACCCTTAAACAGATCATTCCATCAGGCAATACCCAAGCGGTCGTTTGGATATCAATTTTAAAAGTGTGGTTGACGTCATTTATAGTATAATTCCCACATGTTGACAGGATCTAACTACATATTACACAGTTATTGGCATTAAAAGTCCATGCTCTCAATTATATTGACCCCAAGCAGCATCAATCAATCCAGCCCTAAACCTATAGGCCACACGCTCCCTTCAACCGCTATACCCGATCTCACTCAACCTACCTGCGTATAGTGGCCGCATTGCTTGCCAGCCTGGCAACTGTTGTCGTCGTAGCTGTAGTCAACGACCTCATCGAACCACGCCTGCAGAATGTCGCTCACGTCGGGCTGACTGGCGCTGGTCGTCACGCCCAGATTCTCGCCGTAATTCTCGCCGTACGTAGCGGTCAGGGTCAAGGAAAGGCTCGGGTGGTTCTTGGAGTGACGGAAGTCGCATTTCTGGGACCAGGCCTGTGCCGTTGCTGCCAGAGACGCATCATAAATCTGCAAGATGTGATAGATGATGTAAAGTTTTGTAACCAAGAAAGAAGAAAGGAAATCAGTCAACTTAACTTTTCTTTTAAGATAAAAGCAAATTTCTATGCCAACCAGTCCGCCCAGCTTTTGTCGTAAAGGGAGTTACAATGAAGGCAACCTGAATATCCTGACCGATGGAATGGACATTGGAATATAACTTGGGAATCAAAAGGAGGTGACTTTCACCCTCCGCTAAATCTGGTATTGATTTTGCTCCGATGCAGCCAATGCGGATCCTGTCTTTCTCCGCTGGTATCATACCATTAAGCCTTAGGCTTCCTGACTGTTTGCTAGCTTGGCTTTTCCTTTGCCTCCCCCCCCCAAAAAATAGAGGAGTAAAAATGGGTCCTTTTTCTTTAAAGAATGAGAGGCAGGAGGTTTCAATAATTGGTCAATTGCATTTCCCATCTTCTAAAAGTGGGCAAAAATCCCGTAAATGTAGGTTCACTGGCCCCCTCAGAAAGGCTCTAAAGATCAAACGAAATATCCCCACATTCTCCCCCCCCCTGAACACAATTTTTCCCCCAAAATTGATCCATTTTTGCAGCCAGCTGAATCATTTCATTGATCCCATCAGTGGCCGCCCGTCGTGCCCAGCTCCCCATCTTGGGGGGTCACTGACAAAATTGAAAAGAACCGTCGCAACTTCCAGACTGTCCCTCGACCCGCCTTTCAAGGGTTCGGCGGACTGCAAGCGCGCTCTCACAAAATGGACAGCTCTTATAACTTATTTGTAATCTAATTCTTATCCCAAATGTTTTAACCAACCAGGCTGGTTTATATAAATAAGTTTGTGAACTGCAATATTATTAAAATAATTTGCTTTCAGGTTTGCACCACCCATTACTTTTGCTTCCCTTTCTCAACATTCAATTTTTGTTATGCAGTCTGATTAGATCTATCTTGACGCTATAGCTGAAAGTTCAGAAGATAAACTTTTTCCCTTGGGGACTAGCAAGTGTAAGAATCTCATGTTTAGTTACTGGCCATAAATCTTAACTGATTTCCGATGTCAATCTTTTTAGTTCTTGGCATAATTATGCAGGGACAGGGCTCTTTCACATGACAGCAAATATAAACTTCTTTTGTAAAAAATAACTTCGGTATAAATCTCACAAGAATGTATCGCAGGAATTTTCATTTCGATTTGTTTTTTCACTTAAATATTTGGTTGTCTTTGTGTTGTTGTTGTTTTTTTCAAACAATGCGGACTGGCGGCTTACCATATGTTCCATGTTGGTTGCTGTTGGCGAGACTTGGGCCCGAAGCTGGTTGTGTCTGGCCACGTAAGCCTGGTGCTGTGCCTCCGTTAAATCCGTGGTGGCCCGGCGCACTCGGAATTCAACATCCCCCGAGTTCCCCGCACCACCCTGGCCTCCATGTGCCGTAAGTGGACATATAATAAGCAGTTGAAGAAGTATACCTGGACATCGCACCATTTTGAAGTTTGATTGAGGGTAATAACCCTTGAAAAAACGTAAAACGTTCTTCCCGGCTAGTTAAAGTGTGTGATCGCGCGGCTTATTTGGCATGCTTCATTGATATCACCGCAAACAAGTTTAGGTGTTCACAGCCGGAAGAGCTTAGGCGAACCATTCGAGCGTGCGCGGCGGACAATAATGGAGCTAGTTTATTGTTTTGGTGAGACGGAACTTTGCCAATTTTAACTGGGGAAAATCACCGTACTTCCAATCACTTTACGATAGCGTGCAGTAGCCTGAAAGGTTTGAACCTTTCACTTAAAGTCACCAGAGCGTCAAATTCCTTTGCATGGTCCTTTAAAAGGTCGAGGGGCGTAAAGACCCATGTACCGGTAGGCCTACATGTATATCGTGTTTTTATCAAAACTGGGTGGTTTCAATGAGTTTGTTTTTCTACTGATCAGGCAAACTAATTGTTGCATTATATTTGCATATAGTATTGCGCTCTGGTGTTACTGTGCATTTTCCAATAGGCTGTTTCGGGCCCGGTCTAAAATGAAACCACTGTTGTTTAAAATCAGAAACTATACATGTCTAAGTGTACGTCATGGTCGTCTCCACACAGTTCCCTTACTTTCTGTGTTTCTGCATCCATGTAGAGAGCTGGCTAAAAATGCCATTAAAATGTAGCACCGTGGTCCGACGCTCAAATTATTCCCATAAGCGCTCCCGGTAGCATCCAAATTTGAGTGAATTTTCCTCAAAAGTGGAAGGATCGCCCCCGTACTAATCCTCTATACAACCGATCCAATCCATTGTTAGGCACTTGGCCCGGGGTATCCCTATCACAGCTTCAACCCTCTTAAGTTTAAACATAATTTGCCTTAAAATTCGTTAAACATTGAAATGAAGAAATCTGAGGAGATTCTCTGCGTAAGAATAAAATAACACTCTATGTTCCTAGACAAACAGTTTCAAGTGGGACGTATGGCTGTTTTTCTCGAGAAATTTTGAGATCAAATTTGAAACTACTGTACGTAGTTTTAGAACTTAATACTAATGTGGCTTCGGGCTCATTGAGCATGACGTTGGGGGAGGTGTATCAAAAGCCTTACTCACGTATGGTGTACTATTTATGACACACATTTCTGCCTCTCTCTGGCCTCTTCCAAGGCAACGCAACCACGCGGCATAACGGCTCCCTTGCGTCGCGTCGTGTGGTTGAGGCAGTTGTGTGTCGTAAATAGTACACCGTCATCATCATCACCGTCGACATCCTTGCTTTTATTTGCTGGTGTTTTCTTATGGTGTTGTTGCTAATAGGCCTATTTGAAAAATAAATGTATTGATTACTTTCTTTCCTAATCAGTTATGAAGTACTCTTTGTAAACCCAACCCCCCCCCGCTGGATACGCCATTGGTACTAGTGCAGACAAATTGGCCACTTCATGGTTTTGCTATGGACTTAATTCTTAGTTTGAGCTATACCGTGAAGTTTTAACTCGAGAAAATTATGAAGCCCGTATTTATTACTAGATAATTTCAATTGGAGGAATAAGTCCAAAGCAATTTCGTTTTTTCATTAATAGTCGGAGCATTATTTGTAGGTCCATCTTTCAGATCAGGGTACTTGAGCAAAGAGCAGTCGCTTTGTTTGGGAAACATTGCCCCAACCTCTTTTCCATCTTGTCAAGCCGTGGCAGTGCGCAAAATAAAGTAACACCTGGGGATGTGGCCACTGATTGCCAATGGGTTTGAGTGGCGACTTTTCCGAGATATTAGATCCTCAGCATCGAAGCCATGCTACTGAAGTACCAGCTCCGTTGGGCTGGCCATGTCTCTAGAATGGAAGACCATTGCCTTCCTAAGATCGTCATGTATGGCGAACTCTCAACTGGCCACCGAGACAGAGAGGCCCCAAAGAAAAGATACATGGACTGCCTCAAGAAGTCACTCAAATCTTCTCAAGCAGACCCCCACCAGTGGTCTACCATTGCTGCCTAGCGCGACGGCTGGCGCCGCGCAGTTCATACAGTCCTCGTCTCTCGTCAATCGTATCGTATGTACACTATGTGGGCATCACACGGCGGCGGCCGGGAGGCAGTGGCGCCTAGGTATCGCGCGACTGGTCCTAGCTGTGTGACTGTGACTGGACTGACACTAGTCTTGGTCAGGACGTTGAGGGCGTGCATCATGATGAATGCCACAAGTAGGCAAGTTCGGTCAAGGACCACTAGTTGTTGGTTCGTGACGTACCTAGCGCATGTGCAGTGAAGTTGAAGCGTGAACGACCCTAGTCAGCCGTTGTCAGGTCGTTAGGCCGAAGGGGGAAAAGGTGGCCGCAGGAAGGGCAAAATAGCAAAAATAAAAGTGAAAATTGTTGTTGATTAGTGACCTACTGTTTTTACAGCATTTTTCTTATAGGCTAACTGGTCCTCTCTGCACTGTACTGTAAAAATGGTTCATGGCAACCAACGATGAGACCAACCTCGACAGGCTGGTTGCTAATAGTTGATTAGAGTAGTCCAACCATCGTCAACTAACGTGCGTTCGATCAGAGTTTGTCGAACTATGGTCAACTACGGTCCTTGATCTAACTTGCCTGCTACTGCTGCGCTGGTGACCGGTGGTGACTGGTGAAGCTGGTGCGGAGTTCCTTTTGCGCAAGGAGGTGCGCCCTCTATCATTCAGTCACAACGTTTTTTAACACACCAAGGTTTTGACCAAAATTAGGACTAGACTGATTCTGGCGGGACGCTCGACATGCGCTGCGCTTGCCGTAGCTCTGTGGCTGTGACGGGTAAAACAAGACTCCTCCCCGGCCCCCGCGGAGCGAGGAAAATACGATGGATTTTAGAAGCGAACCAGCTGCGGCAGAAAACGGCTTGCAGCTTCCTGGATGGATAGAACGACGACATGTGGCCTCTTCCACCCTTCGAAAAAATATTGATTACGGGGGATCATTCAACAAATCAGTAACGGTAGAGACCAAGATGTGCAATGCAAAATAACCAACAAGATTTATTCAAACCAACTGAACAGAAGCAAAAACCTAAACCGTAAAATAAACGACAGACATTTAAAAAGATCATAAAATTCACCACCAAGAAAATTCAAAGAAAATAACATTGAAGCCAAGCTCCTAAACCCAAAGAAAAAAAATGAAGAAAAGTTAACACTGTGTGGATAGTGCCACTCGAATCCAAATCTTTTCAGAAGACAGCTAAACAATACATTTTGAAACGAGATCATAAACGGGCTTAATTAATGATAAGAGACACAAAGACAGCCTGGTCACCAGTATGCCTGTAATCTAGTTCAAAGTACTTGCCTCAAAAGTAACAGATTATATGGCCACTGCAGAATACCTGCTCGGACGGCAAATATGGGAAACCTACTCCTATCAACCAGAAAATTATTAAAATAAAAAGTCTGGAAACTACAATAAAGCTAAATGGGCCCTGCCATACAACCATTTATAAGATATTACGGAAAAATCGCCACATAAACACTCAGAATGACTCATTACCTTTTGTTTATTGAATACAATCAATTTATACATTCTACCCTAGTAAACCAATATCAAAAATACCCGTGTTAATATAAATGTGTAAATTCAACTGTGAAAATACTATCAGAACCCAAACAACCAATAGCTTAAAACTTAAGTAAACAACAAGATTTTATCCATTTCTGGATTGGAATCTCAGGATCAGTGTACGAATTCCACGTTGTTATTTTTATTAGGTCATTTTTGCTAAAAGGCCATTTGAAATTACCAAACTGTGCGTGTGGTTTTGTGTTGGGTTTTTTCTTTTAATTTTCATTTCCAACCCAACTACATGTATTTGGTCCACCCAACGTAAACCCCCTCTCTGTTTGTCAGTCTCGGGAAAAGACTGTGCTGTTTGATACATCCGCAAAAATCAAATTATTTTGCAGTTGATATTTGAATTTAGATCTTCATTTGTTTGTTATCCACCATTTCAAAATCAAAACAAATAACGGTTTTGAATGACCCTTTATATTTTCTAAAGTGGTGGTTTAATGGTTATTGAATGAGGCATCCGTATAGGCCTAGTATAGGAAGTAGTTGTCGGGCATTGGACGGGGTTCTCGAAAGGTGAGGAGATTCGATCGGGAGCGCCATAGCAGTTCCCCATACGTTCCAGGGAGGGCGTAGCCACTGTCGATTATGGGCTTGCTTATGTTGGAGTCACGTACGTAGGGGTCAGACCGGACATACTCGTAGCTTCCTTTGTAGCTTGGGTAGGAATTGAAATCAAGGCTGGGAAATACCCGAGACAGAAAGCGAACAAACTGACAAGCAGAACCACGACGACTACAGTGACCATCATTGGCGGAGAAAGGCGGGGAGATGATCGTTGATGTGGCTGTGGGGTCGGTGTTGGCAGGTTCAACCGACAGCAGGTTGACGGTATTGTCGACAGCACTGAGCTGTTGTCTGACGTCATCATGGGATGCAATTACCGCGTCGTTCACCAAGTCTGGATTCAAAATATTGTCTATGGGAGCCAAAAGATACAAAGTGGGGATTGGGACTGGAATTAATTTAGTAACTTAGCAACAGTTTCATTAGAAAACTCTTTCACAGAGACACTCAGCAAAAAACGTTGCGATGAACTTTGACCTAAACTCGTTAATAGGCCAATCACATGCACTTCAATTTCCAAATCCCGGCCTTTAGGAATTGATTAATTGTACTGGGCCGTGATAACTACAGAGATGAGGGAAAAGAAATTTTTGGTCACTTGAACGAGGTTTATTACAATAATGATTTAACACAATACTAAACTTACCACTCAGTGTTTTGTCATTATTTGACAGACGTTGCCCCCACCCTAATTCTGTTTATAATGAAGCCATGCATCACGCACTTTCATGAGACTACTTACATTGGCAAGTGGTTCCCTGGTAGCCACTGGCGCATCTGCACCCGCAGTCGAGGAAATTCAGAACTCCACCATTTTCACAAACCAGTTCACAAGGTGGCGCTGTTGAGAGTGCGGCCATTGAAAGTCCTGCCATCGAGAATGAAGCCGTTGAAGATCTCGCCGTTGAGACTTCAGCCGTCGCAGTACACGTCGGCAAAGCTGCAGCCGTGGCAGTAATCTCAAGCGAGAATGCCGCTGTGGCAGTGCTCTGTGGTGAAACTGCAGCAGCCGTAG